AAAAAAGGTACCTCTCAAACCAGATGGAGCCGGTACAAGATCCTGCACGGTAACAGCATACACACGCCCAGAAGGTCTCTGATCTACCTACTCACCTCTCGGAGCAAAAGACTGCCGCACAGACTGAGACGATGAGGCTTCCTGATTGGCCCTCGAGGCCTGAACTGACTGAGTTAACTGATAACTCTGCCTCGACCCAGATGCACCAGATGTGTCACTCAACTGCGAGCAAAACCTTTTCAGGTGCCCCGCCTGACCACACTAGTAACAAGAGAGTGGTTGGCCTCTGCCCTAACTCTGGCTCTAAGGTCGAGCCGAAGATGAAGCTGCTCTCTGCCCTCCTCCCTTCTGCGGGCAAGCTGGAGACTTGTGGCCCAGCTGACCACATTCGTAACAAGTAATGTCTCCCTGACTGCCTCTCCCACAGCTTGAACTCGGCACTGGAAAGGTAGATCTCGCAAATGCACCCTGGGACTACTGCCTCCTACCGTCCCCCTGACCGTCTTGACTCCTTTGGAGCCCCTCAACCTCTCCTCATCCTCATGCATAATAGCCTCAAGATGCGTCGCAGCATCCACAAGGCGTCCATACTCCCGAGTCATGGACCCCGCAACTCTAGTCTTGAGCCTGTGTCTCAACTTCTTTTCGAACTCAAGACAACGGCGTTCCTCAGATGCCAGTAGCTCAGGTGCAAACCTGATAAGCTGGTAAATGCGGCCTCAAACTCGACCACTGGTGTTTTCAGCTGCTTGAGCTACAGAACTGATCCCTCAATTTCTCCCTGATAGCGGGAGACAGAAACTTCTCCTGGAAGGCACCAACGAAAGCCTCCCAAGTCCCACCAATACGGCCCCGAACAAACTTCAACCACTGACCCGCGTCTCCCTTCAGCTAGAAGGACGCCAGGGTCACCTTCAAAGCCCCGTCTTCGATGCCAAGCATCTCAAACGTCTTCGTCATCCGCTCAAGCCACTCATCAGCCTTACATGGCTCCTTGGGATCCCCCAAAAACTCATCCGGGTTAGATCGAAAAAACTCCCTCTTCAGAAAAGAAGGCCCTGCCTCAGTCACATGAGCCTGGACTTGATTCTCAACCTTGAGAATGTCCATGGATTCCCTCAATGCTCCTGCCATCTCGCGGGCCAAGGCACCCATGGCCTACTGACCTACTGGCTCGGCCACATTGGCCTGACCAACACCCTCCTGCTGTGCCAGAATCTCATCCAGTATAGGCATCTCCTGCCTCCTAGGCCTACCTCGCCTACCACTACGTCCTCGTCCTGACATCCTAATAAAGGTAACGAAAACATTAGCACATTCACAAATGTGCCGAAGCTATATCACTCGCGTCCTAATGCATTGGACAACAGTAATTCGTTCCACGTAAGCACATAATCACATAAGCACTTACGAATTTCATTTCCGAATAATCACAGTCCCGAGGCGTTACTAGAGTTCCAGTTAGAAACAGCATTGATCAAGTGCTTTTCCAACAGGACTCCTAGAAACCCAAGGATCCAATCAACATCCTAGAAACTAAATCCCATACCCATATAGTCACATAAACATGTTATCACATAAGTACATAACATTACACTTAAGTCGCTAACAAGCGAGACAAACCCATTGTGGTACTAACCACTTCCCACGTACCCAAAGTATTTAAACCCGGTACGCTCTGATACCAAGTTGTAACGCCCTCAAAATAAAGCCATAACTCATACATCCATGATACAAGAAATTGACAATATATTCCATACATCAGAATGTTTAGTACAAAAGTATTACATGTTGACAACAAAAGTAAATGCCCTACGGGCTTACAACTATCCAAGTCAACACTTGGGTTCAACAAAAGAAGAGTTCTAACTCTTTTTACAAAATAAGACCTTAGCTTGATTTACATGTAATACAAAAAGATAACACAAAAATATCTTCCAGCCTCAAAGCCTTCCAAGCTACGTCCTTGGAGGTGGCATATCGTCCGAACCTGAAAATGATGTCCCATATAGGGTGAGCCAATGCCCAGTAGAGATATACTAAACCAAGTATGAGAAATAACTAAAACAATAGCACTTGATAGATGGTTAACGCTTATAAGCCAATTTACAATACTTTTCGATTCAATATCAAGTACATCCATTTTTCATTTCAATCTCCTTCACTTATACAGTTTCGATTCATATTCATGGCTCAGAACCTGGCCAAACAATTTAATGAGACTATAACTCATATTAAAACACTCCTATACTTCACAATTTACATGAGACTGCAACTCATATTAAAACACTTCCATACTTCAATTAATACACACATTCGTTGTATTAATGGAGTCCATCCCCTATCTCCTCTCAAACCATAGAGTACATCCACTATCTCCTCCCAAACAATATACATGTACAATGTATTTAAACACTTATCATATACAATGATCAATCAATACACATATTCGCTGTATTATTCCAACCGTCATATTCAATGACATAACACCTCCGATTAGTTTCAGTTTTCCCTAATCAACATACAGTGTCTACAACAATCAAGACTATCCTCCACCGATAGCCCAAAGCATTTATCTCTAAACAGATAATAAACTTATCAACAGATAAAATATCAACATTTTCATTGGTGGGTGATTAATTTACCCAACTACACCAATCAACCTCATAATTTCCCAATTTCATAATTTCCAACTCAATTTCATATTTTTCCAAATTAATTATACAAATTAATTTATCATAATAATTAGGGCATTTTTCCTTTTTTCCATGATCGACCCTAAGGTTCAATTTCACCAATTTAACAACAATAATACCATTTTCCAAGGTCTCACATACACATGGAGTTTAACATTTTGAAAACCCCATTTTCGTAACCTCAAAACAAACCCTAACTTTCCCAAAATCACCAAAATCCACCATTTATACAAAATACATAAAGTCTATGTCAAAACCCATAGAAAGGAGTAGGTTATCCCTACCTCAAGAGAAGAGACTCAAAGGAGTTGATGAAGAAAACTCGAAGTGCTCCAAATCCACAAATTTTCGGATTAAAAGACAGCCCACACCAAGCTCTACACTTAATACAAAGGAACTAGGGTAAGAGACTACTAGAACTAGATGGATTTGTAGAGAGAAGTGGTGGTTTAGAGAGAGAGGCAGCTGTTCTAGGGTTTGAGAAGAAAAGGAGTTCAAAAAGTGAGAGAGAAGACTGCTGCTGCGAACTGATATATTCGACGCTCGCTCGAGCGAAGGAGTGGTTGCTCGAGCGACCAGACACAAAGAGACCTCGCTCGAGCGCACAAAGCCTCACTCGAGCCAACAATTCAAAGCTTCAGGTCTACAACCCAGAAGCACACTCGAGCGAAGAAAAGCTCGCTCGAGCAAAGAAACCCAAAACATATAGCTCACTCGCTCGAGCGAAAGAAAGCTCACTCAAGCCAAGAAATACAACCTTCAGGTCCAAAACTAGACGCAGACGCAAGCTCGAGCTCAAGACTTCTCACTCGAGCCACCAGACACAACACTCAACTCTCGCTCAAGCGAAGGAACCCTGGCTCGAGCTAAGGATCTAAAACACAGAGCTCGCTCGAGCGACAAAAGCCTCGCTTGAGCGAAGAAACAAAATTCTGGGCAGCAACTATTGGTTTAAATTCACTACCAACCTGTAACAAACCTGCCCAACACATCCCAAAACTCAAATACAAGAATTAAAGGACGGACACAAGATATATACGACAACCAACACCACGGAACCGAAGTTCGGAACACAATAACCAAATGGGGAAAAATCGGGATCGCTATAGATTTTGACTCGATTTGTGGCGTTGGACTCGTCTTGATGAGCACTACACACTAGGATAGTCAAAGCTTGAGCTCCACAACACTGAAAAATGTCAATTTCTGGACATTTCGTCGGTTTTGCAACTATTGACGGCCTACAGGTAGTTTGTGGCTTGACTAATCGATGTTTGTAGACTCCGCTAGTTGATGTGAACCTGTTGGTAGGCCGGAAAATTCTTGCTCACATGAAGAAAAATGTTGATCCACTTGCTAGAAAGAGAAAATGGGTACGCAAACGCGGTCGGTGACACTTTGGCTGGCAGTTCTCGGCATTGTAGTTCAGAAGGGCGTTGAACATGGTTTAAGAGACGAATAAATAAATGGGGGTGGAGGTCGTGATTGAACGGCCGGTGAGTGTGGAATGGTTGTCGAGTAGTGTGAAGGTTCATACGTGTAGATACCGAGTAGACTCTGCAAGTTACGCTGCCACAATTGGGTTGCAGAGATGCCGAGTTATGATGTACCGATGGGCAGCTTGAGTGAGTTGTACCGATGCCGAGAAAGGTGGAAGAGATGCCGAGTAGCCTTGTACAAGGTATGGCATTGCCGAGCAGCTTTGCAGCATTGTAGCTTTGCCGAGTACTCTTCTAGGAGTTGTGGTACTGCCGAGTAATGTTGATAAAAATGATGAATTAATCATGGTGCTAATAATGATGCAAAATATTGTTGTTGAATAAAGTGGATGCATTGACTAATAATGTTGATGAATTAATAATGGCCCAAATGGTGCAAAGCCGAATTCTTCATGCAACAGGTCATGAAATACATAATTTTGGATTCAAACTTTTGAATTTGAGTCATTGTATCTCTCTTGTTTTAAGTCCAATTGGCCTCATTTTTGTGGCGTTGGATTCCTCACTCAGCTTAGTGTGCATTCTACTATTCAGACGTGTTGTTTCGCCTCGAATTAGATGCCGTTGGACCTCTAAAAGTTGACGAAAAATAAAATTGGTCGTCAAATTTTTTTTTTTTTTTGTTAGGAAGAGAAGAGGTTTGGAAGTTGTCATGGGATTTTTGTTTCAAACTGATTTGGATTGTCATCTCTCATGCAGTCTAAGTAGTTAGCCTTACCCAGATTTTGTCATTGAGAAGTCTAAACCTATGTTTCTAACCCATTAATGACTTTCGTGAGTTAACATTTATACGTAAACATTTTAGCTTGATTCTAATCTATTTGTTCTTATAATACAGGTCAATTCTTATGATTCTGTCCATGTTGATTCGTTATACCGGTCCAAGTATTTTTTGATCTCAACGGCCACCCTTAATGAAGATGTTGAGGTGGCTTTACCAACCTCCAAAATTGATGATGGGCATTTGAGCCAATGGTCAGAAAATCCTGATGATGATGGTGCTAACACACCAAAGGATTCAAGCACAAACGCTGATGAGGTGCACAAAGTCACTATTCTAAATCTTCCTGACGAGGCTTTCCATATCTCTAGTGAATTGGGCCTGTAGTTAGGCCTATATTACCTTGGGTAAATGGAGATGGTACCATCAACAAGATTGTTTGCAAGGGACTTGTACGCTGTGTTCGTGGCATTGTGATGCAGAATCCAGGGATATTAGATGTAAATTCTTGTCATATAAGCTTTTGGTGTGTACAAGTACTATTTGTTTGATTTGCCTTAAGTAATAGGTAAAAACGTACCAAAAGAGAAAATAAGTAATGTAAATGAGAAACTTATAGATTTCATCATAACTTGCAGTTATTTATTAGAGATGAAATTATAGCAACTTCTAGTATTGAATCTATTGACTTTCATTTTGCATATGTTCAAATTTCTGTGAATTTAAGAAGTGTACTACTTTTTGGTGATGCTGCTGCTGCTGCTAGCAATTAGAGGCTGCAATAAGAATTTTTCCAGTAGCTTAAATTTAAGGGGAAATATCATGTCAGTGGGAAATGAGGAAAAGATTTACAAATGAGTGGGAATCGTTTGGTGCGAGTTTTTAGTATGCCATCCCCACCTATTGTAAACAGTTTTGGTCTTGTATACTGAAATGTTATTTCCCCTGAATTTAATTTATTTTGTTTCTCTAATGCTTGAAAACACAGTTTTTTTCAAAGTTGCGATATGAAGTTGTGTTTTTCTGGTGTAGCTGTGACTTTTGTTGGCCTTCTTGATTGATAAATGTTGACAGATTCTCTAATCTCTAAGGTTAAAATTTTATGATCAGGCTTTGTCTGCTTCATCATCATCATCTTGTTCTGCTTTTAAAATGTACATGTTAGTTAGCATTACAAAATCATGTAGGAGTGGGCTCAATATTGTCATTCTAACTATAAGTTTACTGTCTTTCCATGGTGGATAGGTGCGACCAGTGGTAATATCCAATGTTTACTTTTATTCTCAGCCTTAATTAGTGACTTGGGGACAAGTAGATCATACAAAATTAGAAATTGGTTATAAAAATAATGCGACCAGTGGTAATATCCAATGTTTACTTCTATTCTCCGCATTAATTAGTGACTTCAGGACCAATAAATCATACAAAATTAGAAATTGGTTATAAATTTAAAATTCAGTGAAGTTAGGATCCCAACTTTTTCCAACCTTCTGTCTTCCTTTTTAGAAATGTTGCAAAGGTATTAGATATGCTCTAAATTTCTAAACCTTCCAATATTGGTTTTAAATTTTTAATAAATCTTTTCCTTATTGCAGGATGATGTCATTATCCGGATGAACGTATTGAATCCTCAGGTATGCTTTTTTACCTTGGATTTACTCTATTATTATTATTATTTTTATTATTTTCCTAGATTGATATGGGTGACTGGTTGTACATTTCTATATTAATGACAATGAACGGCATCATACAATATTTCCTATTTCACACTAATGGTGCCTCTTTAGTTAATGTTCTAAAGCTTTTATTATTATTATTATTATTTAATTTTTTTTTTTTTAAAGTTGTAGTGACTGCTTTCTATTGTTATCCATCATTTTGATGCCCTAAGGTGCCTTATAATTGAATTTAATTCTCTTCCAAAGCTGCAAGAACCTCTTAAAATTGATGATTATAGATAATCATATCATTGCACGGAAGATGCATCAGACTATGTCCGGTGATCCCCCTACCATATGGGTGGTCTTCTTGGGATAAGTTTCAAAAAACAAACCTTGACTTGCCGATAACATTTCTTTGTGAATCCAATATGTATTACCTTATTGTAGAATACACAGCCTATTGGCACATACTTATTGTTGTTGGGTTTTTTTTGGAGCTGTTTCACCATGCTTTTGAGAAGAACACTAATGTTTGTTATGTCGGTTATATGTGGTTAAAGTGTTGAAGACATGTTCTGTAAGATTTAGCTAATGTATATTAATGATTGTAACTATATCTTGTGTTTTTGTATTGTGAAATTAGGTAAGCAGTCTGTTTATTAGTATATTTTGTGTTCTGGAATGTAACTCTTACTTGAATAGGTGCTGCTTGTACTTGTATTCCTTAAAGATTTAAAAATTATGACCAATTAAACTGAGAACCTATTTGGGAAGTGACATTTTTAGTGATTTTTTGATTAAAATATAAAGTGAAAAAAAAAATTTGAAAAATGACTTTTTGACTTTCACAGAAAAATATGCACAAAAAAAAAAAAAAAAAAATGAGGAAAAAAAATTTGATTTTAAAAAAAAAAAAAAAAAAAAAGAGGAAAAAAAATTTGATTTTATTTTGTAACTATTTATCTTTTTAATTAAAATAATTATTTATTAAATGGACCTAACTCTCTACTTATTTGGGTCTATCAATTGCACTTTGATTATTTTTGCCTGATGTTTTATAAGGTAAAGTAAATACAGATAAAGATACATCAATAAAGTGAATGCCAAACAACCTATCAATGAAGTAAATAAAGATAGATAAATTGAGTTCTTTGTTATTGTCAAGAAAGTGTAAATACAAAAGAAATTATAAAACCTTGTCCGAAATTGTGGTCGGTTTAGTTTTAAAGATTTTTTTATAAATTAGTTAGTTTTATTGATTTTGGAAAAGTAGATAATATATTATTTAAAAATTAAATTTATGATTATACCTTATTTTTATTATGTTTCTTTTTTTTTTTTCTTTTTTTTTGGTAGTAGAAAGGTAAAATACACAACTTATGAGAATCAAATTTAGAATAAATTTTTATATAAGAATCTTTTTTGTTTAGAATGACTTGAAATGTGAGATTCTTCAAACATTTTAGAAAAAAGTACAAAAATTCCTTAGCAAGTTTTGGTTCAAACTATAACACTCCAATATAACACTTAAACGTAATACTCTAAAAAAAACTCATTAGTATATTTTTTTCAAACGTAGCACTCTAATATAACACTCCAAAAAAACTCATTAGTGTAACACTTCAATGTAACACATAAAAAACTCCCTAGTATATTTTTCTCAGACATAACACACAAAAAAAAAAAAGATATGAGATTCTTCAAATCATTTCAAAATAATGTGCGATTCTTCAAACTATTTCAAAAGGAGTACAAAGATTCCTTAGTAAGTTTTGGACAAATATATAATTTCAAACTGTGAGTGTTACGTTTAGAAAAAATACACTACATTTTTTTTTAGTATTTTTGTGTATTACAATGGAGTGTTACGTTTTAGATTACATTTATTAGAGTGTTACATTTGGGAAAAAGCATACTAAAGAATTTTTTTTTTATTGGAGTGTATTACATTAAAGTATTACATTTGGAAAAAATACAATAATGAGTTTTTTTTTTTTTTTTGGTTACGTTGTTACGTTTAAAAAAAGTACGCTAAATTTTTTTTTTACTGTGTTGCATTCTTGTTCGTAATGTGGGATATGTTTTAGAATAAGAAAAAATCTAAAATCTCTATAGTGTAGATTACCCAAGTGTGTAATTTCACATTTGGAGAAATCCACTTTTATCCTTTAAAAATTAAATTCTTCATAAAATCACATTTTAAGATATATTAAAGGGGAGCAGAAGGGCTTTGCTGCTGATCACTAAACGGGCAGTGTGGTCAGATTTTTACCCACACAATTAATATTTCACCCAAATCTAAACCCTATTTTGTAAAAGTAGCGGCCAAATAAGCCTAAGTTGCATATAAGAGATATATCAATAAAGTCAATGTGGTGCTATTTTCATCTTATATACAAAATCTTATTTGTTATAACTTAAAAAAGTTAAAAAGTCACTATTTTATTTGAGTCACATCATTTTATTTAAGTCACATTATTTTTCTATCATATCACTTTAAATCTAACCCATACCTAACTCATATTTCATAAAAAGTAAAAAATACACTTATTTAGATTATCTCAAATCACTCTAAATAGAAGGTCAAACATTTTTTGAAATAAAATAGCCATTAATTTGTTAAGCTCTTAAATGCATGTATATATGGTTATTTAATGATGAAATTAAAGGAAAATCAACTAGGATTTATTAGTAAGGTTAGAAATACAAAAGTCAAACACGGAATGAGGCACTACCTTCTTATAAAGGGTGGGTCTTATACGTGGGTCTCGCACATATGGGCTCCACCTCTTGTGAGAGAGTTATATCTTATTTTGTGTTTGATTTTTATGCACATAGACGGGGTTGTTTGGGATATATTATATAAATATACTTTTTGGCTAAAAAAATAGAGAAAAAAAAGATATATATTTGGAATAACTTTTTGAATTTTTATAAAAAGATGTATAATAAATTATTGTAGTAAAATTAAAATGACAATGACAATTCTATCCTTATTGACTTTTGGGTAGTTGAATTCAAAGGACAAAATAATAATTTTGCCTTCTAGGCTTCTCCCACAAGCTTCTCCAAAATAGTATGGATTTTTTTGGCTTTCGTAGGTTATCCCAAACAAAAACAATTAGGGGTAAACTACTAATAAGTCATAATAGTTAGACTTAATTCTTATCAAGTCTTATTAAAAATAAGTTTTAATACAATCGTAGCTAAAAATAATTTTTTTGTGACAATTTTTTACATGTCTCTAAAAATTCACAATTAGTGACTTTTTTTGTCATAGTTTTTATAAATTGCCTCTAAAACTTACAATTGGTGACGTTTTTCTGTGACGAATTTTTTAAACTGTCATTGAAAGTTGACAATTAGTAACCTTTTTTTGTGACGATTTTTTTAAATTGTCACTAAACTTATAATTAGTGACATTTTTTATGACAAAATTTTTATACTGTCGTTGAATATTAATAATTAGTAATTTTTTTTAATAATGTATGATAAAAATATCATTAATTGTCATACAACTTATTGGACAATAAGTCCAAATGTAAGTCCTCTAATGATTAAGGGTAACATGTCAAAAGCTTGATTGAAGCTTAGATAGAAGCGAAATAATTCACACAAGGATCGGCATCAAGTTGAGTTGCGCTGTTGTAAAAAAACAGTATCCAAATTTGTTAATGAACTAAGCCTTGTAGGTTTTCTAATAGCTCGAGACGAGTATTATCGAATTCCTTAGATTTTAAGTCCTACCTGATGGCGTTGACTAATTCCCAGTGATCTATCAGCTAAATCTAACGAGTTGAGATTTATACTTATTTTAAAACTTTTTTTCACATTTTTCTTATTTTGTTCATATTTTTTCTCCCGTATTTTCGATTAATCTATGAGCTAATTAGCGAGCCACTTCTCACCAAGAATCACACTTCAACATTTATCCAAATTCAAGTTCTAGATCAAATCTTATTTAGATTGGTCCGCTTGCTCAAATACGAACTTGACTAATTGGAGTTTATAATAGATTTTTCTAGTTTCGATTTACAATTTTTCTTTGATCGTCTAACGGAGGATGGTAAATACTAGAGTATTATAAGTTTGCCCCTAATCTATGCCGCAATATCTTTCTAAAACACCATGTAACTCGGAGATGAATTGATCCTGCAGTGAAATTCAATTCATATATATGATTGTTCTCCTCAAAACAGATTAACTGTCATGCCAAAGTAGGATAGAAACTTGGTGATCGAGCGGCAAGCCGCTAAAGGATGACTCTTAGGGAGTATATCATTCTTATTTTCTAATAATTAATCCAAATAAAATTTGATTGATGTTTGATAGTTTAACAATTGACTACTCTTACTCTCTCCTAAATGTAACAAATGTATATATGTTCCCAACCGCAGACAAGCCAGTCCCAATCCCAAGTCACGTCAGATATATATATTTTCTCTCTCTCTCTCTGATCACCGAAGCTCATAAAGCCCTCCAAATTTTCCCCCAATTTTCCATCACAGCAAAGCAAAAGAAGAGAAAAATGGCGGACAATTCATCGTCTTCACCAAAACCAATTCAACAACCCAATGCAATCGAATCATCAATCTCTCAAAACCCAGGAAACCCATCTCAATCTCCATCAATCGATATCCCTCAAATCGCATCCCCGTCTCTCTCTCAAAACCCCCAAACCCCATCTCAACAACAGCAAATCGCATCATCACAAAGCTCTCAACACCAGCAGCAATTGTTACTGCAACAATTTCAACAGCAACATCAGCAGCAACAGCAACAACAGCAACAACAGCAGAGTAATTTGATGGATTCATCGAATTTCCAGATTCAGCAGAGCATGCAGAGGTTGCCATCGATTTCGAGGTTGAATCAGATGCAGCAGCAACAGCAACAGCAACAGCAACAACAAAGCTATGGTGCGATGCGGCAGCAACAGGGGATTTATGGGCAGCAGATGAATTTTGGTGGTGGTTCGATTTCTCAACAACAACAGCAACAGCAACAACAGCAACAGAATCAGCAGATGGGTAATGGTAATCTGGGTCGGTCGGCATTGATAGGTCAGACTAGCCACCTCTCCATGTTGCCTAGCCAAGCTGCCCAGTTGAATTTGCAATCGCAGTTGTTAGCTTCGGTATGAACTGTTTGCTTGAGATCGAAAAGCTTTAAAAAGGGGGGACAAATTGTATCTTGGGTAGGATTGAATGACAATTGTTAGTTAGGGTACTCAATTTGTAGCCTTATTTGAAATTCTTCCGTAAAAGGTTCAATCTTTCAATTTAGAATAATCAATCTACTCTCGATAGCTAATCTTGTTGTAATTTTATAAAATTTTAATCCCAATTCCCTCATTTGAAATCCACTAATCCAAATGGAGGGTTATTTGGTGAGCAATGATGAGAAAGAGGATTATTTTCTCATGTTTGGATTATAAGTTGAGTGAGAAATGGTGAGAAAGAGAACTCTTACTAAGCCTATTTCAAGTGGTGAGGTTTGTTATTTGATGAGAAACAAGTTGATTGGTTGTAAAATATTTATAATACCAAGATTACCCTTTAAAATACAATGAAAGAAACAAATTCTCACCCATATCCCTCTCCCACATGATTTGTTTTTTACACATCCATACATAATAGTGAGAAAACACAAATCATTTTTTTTTCTTTTCTTTTCTCATCTACATAAGATACCACAATTATTTATTTTCTTTTCTTTTCTCGCCCTATAATCCAAATGGAATGTTATTGTTTCTGTGAGGGTTTCTCTTTGACAATTGTAATGTTGGGTGCAGCCAGGACAGAAAACAGGGTTTGTTCAAGGATCGCAGTTCCATCCTGGTAGTTCGCCGGGGCAACCTCTGCAAGGGATGCAAGGAATGGGAATGGGATCTCTCAACTTGAGCTCTCAAATTAGAGCAAATGGGTCCCTTGCATATGCCCCACAACAACGGATAAACCAGGTGCAAATGAGACAGCAATTATCCCAACAAAATCCCCTCTCCTCAAGTCAGGTATTAAATTAATTTATACTCTGTTAAGTTTTTGCAAATTCTTGTCTAGTGGACACTACTATTATTGTAATTTTAATTTTATTTTATTAATAAATATGGTTGTGCAGCTAAACATGGTTGTTATTTGCATTGGAAATAAATAAGAAGGATTTGATGGATATTTAATATCACTTTTATTGCTCATCGTTATAGGTGATTGTGCTAGTGCTTGGGCTCTCGTAGGCCATTGCCTCCTCAATCCTCGTCTAAGCAATTGCAAAACTATGAACTTGAATTCTAATGACCTTGAAACATGCACAATTACAAGTGCTGTAGTAGTACTTTAATTTTATTTGTCTTATCTCTCTCATAGAATAGTTTGTCCTATCTCTCTCATGGAATAGTTTGTGAAGAGTTGACTTAAATGCCTTCACTAAGAAGCACAACACCGACACATGATACAACACAGACACACTTCCAAATTTTCAAAAAATACAGGATACGACATGTGGTGGACATGTGCAAAATATATCATTTTATAGATTTGTTATGTGTCATATATTTGAATATTATATATTTTTTCCATGTCACATATTTATTCTCGTCAAATACATCAATCTTCTTGGGTTTGCTACTTCGGTGAAAAAAATGAAGAAAAAAAATGCTCGACGTGTCCCTAGCATGTCCGATTGAAAATAATAAAAATAAAAATGGGACATTTTCTCTAGCATATCTAACATGTGTCCATGTCAGATATCAGTGCATGACTTCCAGAGAGGTTTGTGCTTCATAGTGCCTTCATAAAGCCATTTTTGGCTTGTATGATTTGCAACTTTTAAGTAGCTGAAAGCTTTTTGTAGACCTATTCCCGTACTTGTGCACATAGTTTGTTACTCTCTCTACCCTTTTTTTTAGGCGGGTGGGGTTGGGACATGGTCTTGGCACATAAATTTTTTTTGATAAATAAGCATAAATTTAATAGAAAATGATCAAGATGATGCAAAGAATACAAAATTCCAACCCCTAAGGAAAAATGCTAAGCTATCAAATCCTCCACAAAGGTCTCTTTTGGGAAATGAATTAAAAGCCACTTCCCAGCTTTTAACCCATTTTGGATCACATCATCTCTCACATTTTTCACTTTTTTTTAAAAAAAAAAGGCAAAAAGCTAACTTTTAATCATTTTTCCAAAACAACCTAAAATTTATATAAGTTAAAACATCTAGATCAACCAACCCTGTAACCCAATTATATAACACCATAAGCACTCGCCTCTTTAGCTAAGAAATCAAATGAGACAACCCTTGGAGTACATGTCTGTTATGCTCCAACCGAATAAGCCACATTAAACTGTGAGAAGCAATCATCCATGCCTTCTAACGTCTCCTCCCTACCCTATCCCTTGCCCAACTTTGCAAGATTGCCGACCCTGAACCTGGCTGCACCCAAACCAAACCAAATCAAACCAAAAGTCGCAACAATAAGCGTCCAAAGTTTAGATATAACTGGGTAATGAACGAGCAAATGATTTACCGATTCAGCATTACCACAACACAAACAATACCAATTCACCAGTATATGCCCATAGCGAATCAAATTATCAATCGTCAGAATACATCGCCGTCCATACAAAAAAAGCTACCTTGGATGGCGTGCCTGACACTCAGACATATTTCCAAGGATATGAAATCATATCAACAAGTCTATGAGTTTGGACTGCAAGATTTATTTGCCACTTGGAGCTTAAAGATGGAAGAGTTGCATAACCTTTGAAGAAGTAAGATTTGTAGAGCTTGTTGTGAAATTTTAATTACACTCGCAAGCGCACAAATCGTATGGAGTTATAGTTTAATGAGTTTGAGGTCGAACACAAAGGGACTTGTGATTTTTTGGGAATCACAGTAATATTGGAATTCAATCTCAATTACTATGGAAAATATTATTGTTAAGCTTATTTCTTTATTTATTTTTAAATAACTATTTGATGTACGCTCTTCCTTGCCTAAATGTTCAAAATCAAATAATCTAATGTATCTGTTTATAACAAATTACATTAGATATATAATATTTGAATTTAATAAAATAATAATCAAGGCAAACTAACTAATGGGTATATCTCAAATTATGAAAGAAACTTGATTAAATTCATATTCAAAATTTACTGAGCCAATTAAAACGAGGCCAGAATAATTAATTAATTAAATCACAAAATTGGGAAATAAAATCAAACCATGTATTTAATTACTACAAAACATGAGGTTTCATCCTCAACCTCAGTTGAGAATTTAGTTACTCATCATTGAATAAACTATTGAATCCATGAGACTAATATTCATCAAAATAAAGCTTACAAGCGTAGAAGAAGAAAAGAATATAAAATGTAAATACTGAAAAACCCCAATTGTTACTCGTTTTCTCTTAAAATCTCTCATTCCCAGATAATGGGTGTTACATATATTTCTATTGAAACTCTAAAACCTAACTTACTAAGAAAAATAAAATAAAAATCTAGTTACGTAGATTTTTATTCCACGCGGTAGAGGCTCCACACGGTCATTGTTAATTTTATTTCTTTCATTGACCATTGATTCAATGGTAAAACCCTGGCCTAATAAGGGACCCACGTATAAAATATAAGGGACCCACGTATAAAATATAATAAAACTTGATCATCAATTTAAATCATAACTAAATATAAAGGGTAAATTACATTGACCTCCCTTGAGGTTTGGAGAAAATATAGGACATCTCACAGTTTTGGCTTACTTATATTGAGCTTCCTTAAGATTTGAATTTACATAACAATTAACCTCCTTTTCATCAATAATTCATTAGTCATATGAATAGAAAAATGATATTGCCATCACTTTTGCATTGAAATGTATATTTTTTCTTGTTTATTTTTGTGTCTTCACACTATTTGCATTAGTTACGGCCACTTTAACCATATTACAAGGGAGGTCAATGTAATTATGTCAAAACTGTAAGGTTATTTGTATTTTTTTTCATACATCCAGCGCAGTCAATGTAATTTACCTAGATATTATAAATTTATAAATTAAGGGAATTAACATAATAAAAATGTGTTTATATAAAAAATTAATGAAATAACTACACTTTTACCCATTCATCAGAGCCTATGATGCAATCCCTTTACTTGGGAAAAAAGTAAAGGTTACACGTAGAAAACAGATCAGCAATGCCATTAAAGCTTTTGTTTTAAAGTTAAAATGGGGATTAGGACAATATCCTCATTTTGGATTTCAAGAATCTGATGGGATTTGTTATCCTTTACGTGGTCTTGTATTTATAGAGGACCGCCATTTAGAGAAGGGGCATTTCTTGAAGACCTAGATCTTAGAATTCTTCTAGAGTCCTTTTTCCAGAGATCAAACTCCATAGCCTGCTACAATTCCATTCCCCCGCCTCACCCTCGAAGAAGAAGACACACCTTCCAACCTCGATGACTTTGTGACTTGTGATTCCCAAGTGTTTGTGCTTCGAAGTCTGTCAATTTTCTATTTCAAATCTTCTGGTTCATTTCCAACATTACTCAGAAATGGAGTTTTTTAGGTAAGGGGTTATTTATTTATTTACTTTTTGTATGTCTCAGATCATGGTTATCAAAATCGCGATTAGATCCTACGATCTTGAATTGGTAAAACAATCCAAATCGTTGTAGGATCGGTGAGTAGGATCGTAAATGTGATTGCTGAGTTTTTGATTTTTCACTTTATTTTTAAATTTCAATATGTATTTGTACCTTATTTTTTTAATAGAAAGTATAATCTTACGATCCTACGATTTGATCTATGAGATGCTCTCATCGATCTTACGTAAGATCTCGATTTTAACAACTTTGTCTGGAATTTACTTTTTTAGTGATTTTTTTGGTCTTTAGTGAACATTTTTTAAATTTTTTCCAAAGAGGCTTTACCCTTTTAGGTTATACTCGACTAGACAGACCAAATAGCTAAGAAGCATGGACACGGATACGGATGTAGACATGGGACACGACGATTTCAAAAAAATGGGGACTCGAACATGGTGGGGACATGACAATAAAATATATTTTCATATATTTTTATTTGCTATCTAAATTAATATTACATCTACAAACAATCAATATTAATAAAAACTAACTCTAATTCTATATGTTATTTTGTTTTTTTTTAAAAATTAAAAAAATTAACACTTATCTTTTATATCTTTTTTTATAGATAATCTATTAAGTATTTTAAATTTAAGAAAAATAAAATAAATATTAAACATTCATAAGAAGTATTAAAGAAAATGGGGGAAAAGACAAGTTAGCATGTCCCTAGTGTGTCCCCGATGTGTCCTTGGAAAATAAATTAATTAAATAAGGGGCACGCCATGTGGCATGCCCCATATGTGTTCCTAAAAAAATCCAAAAGCATTTTTTTGGATTTTAAAATTTTGTTTTTTACTTTTTAAATCCGTCTACATTAGATACATTAGATGGACCTGAAAAATAAAAATAAAAAATTGACGTAAATTTGGAAAAAAAATCACTAAAGATTAAAAAGTTTGGAAAAATGTGACTTTTTCAGTGGGATCCCAAACTCACTCTCAATGGAAGTGCCAATCATACTTTTTCTTCTATTAATTGGAAGTTTCTTTTTTGTGAAGAGCATTTAATGATCTGAAGTATTAAATCTGAAATGGCGATCAAGTACTTCAAAATAATCAACATTTTTGAGTGGTTGACAGTGGTTAGTTGAATATAGAAATTTCGAAAAGCCTAATATTATTTTCTTAAAATATTTTTCCATTTCAAATTTGTGTCAACAAATGGAAATCTCATTTATAAACCAAGATTGGTTACATCTGTATATTATCACAGCATCATTCGTATATATGTCAAAAGTGGATTCACAAATGAAGGGAGGGGAGGGTGTGCCCATCTTAGAATCACTCTCATCTTGGATCAGTTCTGCATAAACAATTGACAATGTTAGGGGCTCCAACTGGCTTGGAGAACCGGTATTCAAAGCATTTTCATAAAGTAAAGAGTACAATTTTCCAATGCTGCCTATCTTTAATTTAAAGATCAGGTTCATCTTGTGGGGCAAATTTTCAAAACTACTAATTAATTTAATGTTGGCTTTTCAAAATGGGCAAAAAAATACAAGGAAAAATGGACCAACAATTTGGGACAGAGGAAGTAGCTCTTTCGTTCCTTGTGGGTGGGTGTAGTATTTCCATAGCTGTCAGATTCCATTTTTTGTATGTGTTCTTTTATTCACTTTTGTTTGTGTGTGTGTGCAACTTATGTTAACATTTGTGCCTTTTTTCTTTTCTTTTTCTTTTTCTTTTCTAGAAACTACAGGCACAAAGTCAACTGAGAACGTCATTTATAAACCCCCAGTTATCTGGGTTGACTCAGAATGGACAGGCAGGTTTGATGCAGGGCTCCTTGTCACAGCAACAATGGTTGAAGCAAATGTCAGCAATGTCTAGTCCAAACTCTCCTTCATATCGACTTCAATCTCAGAGGCAGCAGCAAGTACTTTTGCATAATCAGTTGGCTTCTTCTCCTCAATTGCAGCAAACGTCTATGTCATTGAACCCACAGCAGTTCTCCCAACTTGTACAGCAGCATCAATCAATTTTGCACCCACAGCTCCATCAGCAGCAACAGCAGCCTCAGCCGCAGCCGCAGCCACAGCCGCACCAGCAACAGCACCACCACCTCCAACAGCAACAGCTTTTGAATCAGCAGCAGTCTCCCAGGATGGCAGTGCCTCCTGGCCAAAAGTCTCTAAGTTTGACGGGATCGCAGCCAGATGCTACAGCATCTGGGACAACTACTCCAGGGGGGAGCTCAAGCCTAGGAACAGAGGCAAGCAATCAACTTCTTGGGAAGAGAAAGATACAGGATTTGGTTTCACAGGTCATCATTCTATATTTCAATTGCTACTTCTCTTTACAATTCTAGGCAAACCAATGAACCATGGTTCCAGATGTGAGATTTGAAACTTTTTGGGTCTGGGAATAATTTAAAATGTGGTATTTCTTCATGAAAAATCAAGAGTAATTGTAAAGATGATTAAATTCAAATTGAGGAGACTTAACACACACACACACACACACACACACAAAATGGTCATCTAGAATTGTTCGTAGTAATTCATCAATCTCATAGGTAATGTGATGTGATTCTTCGCTATATGTCAAAGATCCAATTTTTTTGGAGCAATTTTTAATTATTGGTTTGTATATGAAATAATTCCACATTAGTCATTATGATCATCTTTTGGTTCTTCAGGTGGATCCACGAGGAAAGCTGGATCCTGAAGTTGAAGATCTTCTTTTGGAGATTGCTGATGACTTCATTGATTCGGTGAGGCTTGCCAATACTAACTTCTTCAAATTTGCATGCACATTGTCTTTCTCTGCTTCAGAACATGCATGTTTTTGCTTTGCTTCGGCAAGGGTACATGTTTGTAGGCATGGTGCTTATTTTTTTCTTTCTTAAGCTTCTTCCATTTTTAGATTGGTCTAAGACGTATGCTTTTCAATTTCTGCTGTTCAATTCTTACCGCCATCATTTCAAGCATAACAGTGTACTCAAGACGAGAAACACTCATTTCATGTGGATATTACCAACTGATTTTATCTCAAGGTTCGTTGGGTTGTATTATAGGACTCCATGTTATTGCTTCGTTAGATTGTTCGGATATGATACAGTCAATATGCCTTCAGATAAAATAGTTAGTTGGCATGCAGTATTGAATTGGAACAGTGTAGGAACTTTACGCCAGTCAGATGCATTCAATAGTCAGTGTCAAACACTGAGAAATTGAGGGAACAGATAAACATATTCCATGCTCGAGGAATCTGAGGAATGAAAGACTGTCAATTCCTGCACAATCACGAAGGTCCCATCTATTTTTTATTTTATTTTTCAGATAAGGCAACTGATCTACAGTGCTTAAGATTCATGTAGCCAAAAAATTGAAACTTGAAGCTTAGAAGAAAAGGTTATTGCATAAACCAATTGAACAACTTTTTCATTAGTTTCAAGATATAGTGTTAATCTCACCTCTATTGTCAGGGACATTCTCTTATTGCCTGAATCACACCAAAATTTTGGTTTATGGAAGCAAGGGAAGCTGGTGCCATTGGTGATATTTAGCTGTGGATCATAGTTTTGTCCTTGAGTTACTAGCTTGTAGCTCACATGTGGTGGCAATGTATTTAAAATACTTTCAATCTTACTTGTTCTTGTGTGACAATAATTTTCCTCTGCAAATGTTGTTGGCATTCTAAGATTTGAGGACAACCCTTAATTTTGGAAACTAATCCTGTTTGTTTAGAAATTCTGTATTAAACATATGTTATATATTGGAATTGTGAAAATTGTTTTAGTGGACTCTGGCAGGTCAAATGGAATGGTGTTTCTAAAAGAGGAACATATGAAATACTGTAATTGGATGCAATCTACATTATGGTTGCAAGCTGAAATGAAAAATAGGGCAACATGTCATATTGTAACCAAAATTTATAGGATGTTAGCCCATGGAATGAAATACCCATGATATTTGTGGCATATTCATTGATATATCTGCATTGTTGAGACTTCTATTAATCAATATTATCCACAATATTTTTGTAATACTTTATTGATTTCTCCTTAAGATGTTCCGTGGGTCATTACAGATTAGATCATAGAGGGTCATTGTTGCATTAGGAAGACAAACTTTACTTGCATAATACTTGCAGGACTTCTGTACCAAACATCATGGCATTTATATTTTTCATCTAATCTGATATCTGAAAGCCAGCAGTATCTTAAGCCTGGGTGCTGCAGGGACAATTTTTAGTCCACATTGTTGGGAAACTGCTCTGGCTCATTATCAGAATCAAATGTGAATACTTTGTAGTATATTTGTTTTTACTTTTTTTTGTTTTTTATCCAACGTGTGCACCCTAATTTTATCTTATTCTTGATTTTATATGAAATTTAATTACCCCTATTGCTTGTAACATCGTATTGTTAATGAGCTGTGTTAAATGCTGTTCATACACTGCTGCTATTTGGACATTTCCTCAACTTTATTGAGGTAAACATCTATATATACACAACTAACAATGTCCAACACCATCCTAATTTTATTTTTTTCGTGATTTTATAGGAATTTTGTTTCCCATGTTGTTTGTGATATGATATTGTTAATGAGTTCAGTTTAGTTGGGTTCATACACCTCTGCTATTTTGATATTTCCTTGATTCTAGTGAGGCAAACATGTCTGGTTTATGCTCAATCTGATTGAGGTTTTCTCAACTTATAGCGGATGCATTTTACCTCTTTCAACTTTATGGATGTTTTTCTAATGATATTGTACATGGCCTACTTTTGTGGTGTTTTCTTTCTTTGTCAATCCTATAGCTAAGATAAGCAGTCGTATACCAGTGTGCAAGCTTTGCATTTGGGTTAATAAAATTCTGAGTTTGTTTTGTTTAGAATTGGGGATATCAATCTCAAATGTGCAATCAACTGGATATGATTATGGGACATGCCTCACATTCTCAAATGTTGTGGGGGAAATTTTTGTTTTCTGCTTGTAAGTTGCATGAGGACTGCACATGCATCTTTTTACATTGGATTGAATTTTTTGAATGAATTTTCTCAGATGATTTAATTGAAATTATTTAGGAACATTACATTTCTGCTTAGTTGGTTAAATTGCAGTTAAGTAGCTTGCCTTTATCATCCATCCTAATGCCTTGTATTTTGTTCAAATGTTTTTGGCATAGAATTTTGTGGTCTTTCTTATGAATTCATCTTACTGCCTCTTTGCAGGTTACTACATTTGCATGTAGTTTGGCAAAGCATCGGAACTCTTCGATTGTAGAGGCCAAAGATGTGCTGCTTCACCTTGGTTTGTGCTTGCCACTTTATCAGTAGATTTATATTGTGTATACTGAATTTGGAAAACATTGGTTTTCCCTTGTTAATATCATTGGATAAATATTAGGAAGAGAGTAGGTTACATATGGCTTGAATAAAAGAATAAAAAAAAGAGGCTTCCATGGGTTTTCTTTTTTTGATTTACAATGCAAGGGTGTGTAGCTGCATTACCATTGGGCATAACGATGATATGCACCACATTCAGTGGCGTGAAATATCTTTTTTCCTATTTTTGTTTACATTTAGACAGTTAACCTTGATCTAATTGAATGAAATCATTTGCAGAGAAAAACTTGCATTTGACCATTCCTGGTTTCTCAAGTGAAGAGAGGAAAAACCAACAGAACCATGTAAGAATTTTATCTTTGTTAACAAGTTTTTGTTGCACTATGGTAGTAGTAGTAGATTACTTTGGCTCTAGCATTGGATTGCTAACCCCCTCATTCTTAAATCCCCGCATACAAAGTAAGATAAAAGCTTCCTCTCCAAAATGTTATTTTTGGAATGTGGATTTATCCCCAAATAATTGAGTACAAACTTGAATGCCTATTTGATTTCTTGTCAATTCCCGACCAACTTTTAGGTAAAATGACCCACTACTACTGTTTTTACATATCACTCTGTCCACCTGTTGTGTTGAGATGTGAATATGCCACTATTCCTGATGTCATAACCACCCCATGATGAAAAATTGCTTCAGTGTCATAGAATATTGTGTTCTCATGTCCATCAAGCACATTTATGATTTGGTAAATAACTAGGAAAGAAGTTGGATCCATCAAGAAAAAATGGAGTCACTTCAATGAGAGGAATATCAGAGAGCCAGGGGTAATGCTAGCTCCATTTCTTATCAATCATTTCAAGTCCTTTAGTATTGGTGAGTTGCCTGCTAATAGAACAGCCAGCTGAAAAAAGCTAGGTAGGTGCCTGCTCGCTTTCTCTCTACCACTAGTAATTTAGTGGTTGACATTCGTCACTGCTCTGTGTGGTGTTTCTATATTGAAGCACTATATTAAAGATATTGTATAAGATGCGTGATTACATCGGAGAAGAATAGAAATGGTTATCTGCAGTTGTTCATATTCCCAATGAATATTTAATGATCAAAATTTAGGAACTGTACCAATTAAAAACCAATCCCAAAAAAAATAAAAGAAAATCTAAGCTGGCTTTGCCTATTATGCTTGTTAAAATTTCGATGTTAGTAGTGAGGGATTCATCTCTATTTTTTATTGCTTTATTAGGTGATCACATTGGACCTCTAGAGTGTTCTTTAAGCACTCCAGATGTAAAAGTACGCATTTATTATGGTTAAGATTAAACCCTAGTCATTTGTTTATAAAACTTTTGAATTGTGCATGCAGTCATCAACTGATCTCCACAAGAAGCGTCTTGATATGGTGAGGAGAATTTTTTATTAGTGCATTTCATCTGTCTTCTTCTTTCATGTTGTTCTAAAATTGTATTTTCTACATGAATTATGATGTCAGATACACTCAGTGATGGAGCCCTCACAATCGGAAACAAATGTGAACAATGGTAAGGAGGTAGCTAGACAGGGGCTCATCAACCCAGTTGGCACCAACCACCTGATAAGACCTTCCCCGAGTTCAGATCAGTTGGATTCACAGTCAAATGCTTCTCAAATGCTGCAACAACAAATAACTAGGTGTTAGACCAAACCCTTGATTTGGTCTCCTGGACCTTCTTGGTAAGCATCCTGAGCTTTCAACTATTGAACTTATTGTTTTCTTTTCATGAATTAACATGGTATATGTTTATTGCTATGGATGGAAACATGCCTCTGTCTAAAGTAGTAGTTGAATTTTGAGTTCATATCCTTTGGTTGTTGTATTAGGGGATTGGCTCCTGTAAAGAGCTACTCTATCCAATGTCTAAAACATTTCTAAATTTGGCTTTTCTTTTGGTTAATAATGAATACTGTATTTCTCCTATGAAATATTCCTGGAGCAAATTTGCACGGTGATATTGTTGTTATTTATGTAATATCTCAAGTGGGAAGTGTCAGTTATGTTATAGCTTACTTCCAAAGCTTGACTTTCTTTCGTGGCTGCACTTGAAACTCATATCATCGTCTGGGCCCTAGTCCTTTGTGGGTGAATGGGTGTCATTGTCCACTGTCACAATCTTGGTCTGCCTTCTTATTTAGGACTTCTAAATTTTTTTCCCCAGATTTTTCCATTATGCTAATTTACTTTACGAGTTGTGTTGCTCATCTGCCATGGCCATTTTAAGCACAGCAAAAATATTCGTTTTACCCACAACACTAAAAATTTTGGAAATCATTTATTTGGACATGATCATCTCTTGGGTGCATTTATTTATACAAGCATTCCCGTCATCATAGGAATTTCTATTGTCCACTTAATCCTCAGAATTTAATCAATTTTTTGCCACTACAGGTTGGGCTATTGTAAATATTTTATCATGTTGATAGTGCCATGGAAGATGTGTTATGGAACCAGTGAGACCGTGTCTTAAAGTTTGGCAGCAGTGTCGGAGCTTGAGATCGACTCCTTCCCAATACTCTCTCCGTAGCAGCACAGTATGGGTACCAGAGTCATCCAGATCTTTCTCTCTTCTTTCGTTTCCTTTTCTTGGAGGCTTCCAGTTTGAATAAAATCTTGGAATGATCAGGATATCCTACCTTTTTTTTTTTTGTGTGGTAAATTTGGTTTGATTAGTAAGAAGTATTTTGATGGTGGGTTGTGTTGCTATAAATATTTAAAGTAGTTTCCTGTGTAGGAGTTTGGTTTTTGTAGCTCAACAAACTTCTAAATGGAGAGATTTGAGCTGAAATTGACCCCTGGAATTGAACAGGTTTTTTGAGGGGTTAGTTTGGATTTTGTGAAATAGTCTTCGTGTCATGTATTGTCATTTATTTTATTTTATTTTTATTTTTGTTTTTGGCCTTAGTCACGTATTATCATTCAAATTTTTATTAATTTTAAAAGGGAAAATTATAAATAAGTGATATTTCTATAAAATATTTATAAATTCATAAATTTTTTTTATATACTTTTAATTATTAAAATTGATAAATTGTTTTATTAATTTGTAATTATTAATATTTTTTTTTTTTTTGAAAACATGAACTGCAGTGCAATTTCTCCTTTTTAAAAAGTAGGACCTATCATTTTATAGAGTTTTCCTAAATGAAAACCGCTTGTGTTATGTTTGGTTCATTGAAATTAAAGAGGAATAAAATGTTTATTCTTTATCTTACAGAATAATCATTCACTTGTAATGGTGAATGGTGATTTTATTTGTATTTTTTTTTTTAATCATTTTTTGGTGAATCAAATGTAAGAATGGATGTTATGATGCATTCTATTCTATCTTTATTCTAATGAAGTGATAATTACTTTTAAAAAAATCAGTTTGATTTGAATTTCTGAAATTTTTTGGTCCCTTTTTGAACCATTTCAATTTTATTTATTTATTTATTTTTGGGTGCAAAATCAAATGAATAATAGTAAATGTGTCAAGAATATATATGAGCACTAATGGGGTTCACAACAAATTATAATATTAGAGGCGAGTTTCATTGTGTTGATATGTATATTATTGATACTTTTTACTAGTTTAAATTTATTAAAAAATTCTAACCACCATTTAAATTTTTATTTTATTTTTTGGCAATAGAATAAACAAAACATTTGATACTTTGGTATTTAAAACCTTAATCATGGACCAAAATCCCCGAAGAAATCAGGAAACAAATGAATGGTTGAATTTTGTTGAAAAATAAAAGAAATTCATGTACATTACATTGTTTATTTAGTAATTTATGAGACAATAATAGTTAAAATAAATTTAAACAATTAATTAACTAAAAAGGGGGAAAACTTGCTTTTTGACATCTAATTTTTAATTATCAACTTGATATTTTTTTTTTTAAAAAAAAAAATTTCACCCAACATACCTATTAATTGAACCTAACCCTCAAAACCATTTTAATCGAAGTCTATTGTTGACTTGACGAGATGGTTTTGCTTTGAGAGAGGGAAGGTTCAAAAAGTTCCTTTCGTACATGTTTCCCACCTAACGAGTTAGTTACAAACACCAACTTACTAATACTATTACTCCTAACTAGCAGTAGTAGCAGTACACAATCTTTTGTTTTTGTGTAATAAAAATTGAAAATACAAAATTTGAATGATAAGAATCTTGAGACAGAATTAGAATCTCATTACTAGTAATTGAGGAGGTTATTAGTAGTACAATTCACTTGTCAATGTAATTCAAGAGTTTGATTTTGTTAAAAATTCTTAATAAAAACACGATAAAATTTTATATATTATGGACTCAATTATTATTTTTTAATTTTAAATGGCTAACATGATTTTATTTTTTAAATGTGAGATTCCAGGAAGAAGTGGGATATGATGTGAATCTGTTCCAAACATTAGAATTGTGGAAATTCAGAATCACAATTATTTTATTTTCTCTCAAGGTTCCTTTTTTCCAAACTTATTATTATCCTAAAGGTATGAGAAAGGGGATAAATTATCACGTAGGTCCGTCCCATATCTTACGTGATATCATATGCTCTTATAATTCTATTGGTTACGTACTCACTCTTTTTTATTTTTTCTCTTATGTATTATATAAAATAATCAATAGAATTGGAAGGACACATAATCTAATTATTATGTATTATATAAAACAATCAATAGAATTGGAAGGACACAACCTAATTAGTATTCCTAGAAGATAGGATAATTCCTCCAGAAAGAGAGAGTCACAGCTGATGAAATAGACAAAAACTCTTAAAATAGGAATAAAAAATCTTAAAAATCCTGTCATCTGGTGATCCTGTTATCTGGTGATGTTTGAACCTCCAACCTCTCATATGAAAGCATTGGGATTATGTTATTTGGTCTAAAAGCCTACAGGCATTTTAAAAGAGCACATATATAGTATGTATGTATTTAAAATTTTAGTTACAATAATTCATAATTTTTATTATTTTGAATATAATTAAGATTAAGTTGGTTCGTAACAAAAAAATATCATAAAAGCCTTATAACTTAAGACTACAAAAGTCTCTTCATAACCAAAACACCACAAAATCTTATACTAATAAAAATTACTTTAGATTATAATCAATCAACAAAGTCTCTTCATAACCAACCACCACAAAACTCACTATAAAAAGCTCTCATAATTAAATATAAACATAACATGATTTATAACTAGTACCACAGAAAGTTTGCTTAACTTATTTCCTTGTCAAATCAGACAACTTAATTTAGTTTCCCCCAACTTTAGGCAATTAGCTAAATCACCAAATAGAATAATAAAATTTAGAAAAATGTTATGTATTCAAAATATTTATTTAAATTTAATAATGTAAACTATACCTAAAATGTGTCTTGTCTTATCTACACGTTTAAAATTCTAATTACTTTTCCGAATAAATTTTATAAACATACTTGCGTTTAGTGTGTTGACAAAGTCAAAAAATATAATTTATTTTCGCTGTCCATGAATATAATTTAATTCATGTACCCATCTTTTATATACCATTAGGTAAGCCATTTTTGTTGGCTTTTGATTATCAAAGTGGATTGTCTTCTAATTGTTTAACTAATTTCTCTTTTAATCATTTGTTAACACGTTTCTGTAAACACCTTTTATCCAACTTTTTTATCATGTCCCTCGCTTCAAAAGTCTACTTTAGAAAAGTTAATCCAAACATAGACTTGTTTTGAGAAGTAGGTTAAAAGTAAATTTTTAATTTTTTTTAAAAAGATGTGTAAAAAAAAATAAAGAGAAGATGTGACTCAAAAAAAATTAAAAAGTTATAAAAAATACTTTTAATCAAGTTGTCAAAATAAGTCATAATCTAGTTAATTGGGTTTAAAAACATGAAATTCATTGGAATAAGCAGTAGTACAAGAACGAATAAGCTTTTAATAATGCTACAATGGGAAGTGGGTTGGCTTTTTAGCTTTTTGGCTATTTTAGCCTGGGCTATTTTAGCTTGGTTTGGGAAGGACTTTTTGGCTTTTTGACTTTTTTGACTTTTTTTTGTGAGAGAGGATTGTAATGATTATGGGTTGGATTTGATGTTTTTTTTTTGTGGCTAAAATAGCCTATTTTATTTTTTGTGGCTATTTTAGCCAAAAAAGCCTGGGCTTTTTCTTGCCAAACGGAGGCAATTATCCAACTTTTTTATCATGTCCCTCGCTTCAAAAGTCTACTTTAGAAAAGTTAATCCAAACATAGGCTTATTTTGAGAAGTAGGTTAAAAGTAAATTTTTAAATTTTTTTAAAAAGATGTGTAAAAAAAAATAAAGAGAAGATGTGACTCAAAAAAAATTAAAAAGTTATAAAAAATACTTTTAATCAAGTTGTCAAAATAAGTCATAATCTAGTTAATTGGGTTTAAAAACATGAAATTCATTGGAATAAGCAGTAGTACAAGAACGAATAAGCTTTTAATAATGCTACAATTGTATCTACCTCAGTTTTGACATGTTAAAAATTTATTTGAAATTGACTCGTTAAATAAACAATTCAAATTTAAATATAATTTAAAATTTGTTAACTTTTTCGAGTTAAATTTAAATAATTTACAACTTGACTCGAATTGATTATATGAATCAAAAAAAGCCAAAGTACTCCAGCTAGTCTTGTCATCGATTTGATTAAAACTCAACAACTCGAAAGATAAAGAAGCCAAGTTTTAAAGCATTTTGAAATTGATTAATTTTTAAATACTCAGCTCAACTCAGTTCGTTTACAATTTTAATTAAATCTTTTTCAATATATATTATTTAATTCATTTGGATTTATTTTTCTTGGCATAGTTTTAAAGGTAAACTACTAATAGGTCCTAATAATTTGACTTAATTCCCATCAAGTCCTATTGAAAATAAATTCTAATAAAATTATTACTAAAAATAATTTTTTGTGATTATTTTTTGCATATGTTGCTAAAACTTAACAATTAATGATTTTTTTATTGTCACGATTTTTATAAATTGTAGCTAAAACATACAATTAGTGATGTTTTTCTATGATGAATTTTCAAGCTATCGCTAAAAGTTGAAAATCAGTGATATTTTTTTGTGACAATTTTTTCAAATTGTCACTAAAACATATAATTAGTGATATTCTTTGTGACAATTTTTAAACTGTCATTGAAAATTAATAATTAGTAACATTTATTAATAGTGTTTGATGAAAAATGTCACTAATTATTATAGGATCTATTAAATAATAAATCTATCTATGAGGATTTACACATAAATCTCCCAAATTTTAATTGAGTTTCAATAATTCTACAACACAAACCGACTATAACTTTCTTACATGATAACTTTAAGAATTTTTCCAATAACAGTTTTGAAGATTTTCATTAAAAAGTTCATAATATAAAAAATATGTATAATTTTAATATAATTTTTTACATATTTTAAAATATTTTAATATATTTTTGATACATTTCTATATATATATATTTTATTAATTTTTTAGGACTAAAAATAGTTTTAGAATTTTTCATTACATAAATAGGTAGGCATGCAAAAAGATTTTTGGTTTAATGATGAATTCATTACATAAATAGGTAGGCATGCAAAAAGATTTTTGGTTTAATGATGAAAGTAGTGCAGAGCTTTATGAGTTATGGATAATAGAATGATGAGGTTTTTGAATTTGTGTAGATTGAGAACGAGAATGTGAAGTAGAATCCACTTTGGCAGGCCTAATGATGTCTATCTCCGTTATTGCACCTCAACCTCCTTCACATTTGTTTCAAACTTCATGGAAGAGAAGTTGCAGCATTTTAAGCCCAAATTTGGGAAGATAAGAAAAAGTTAAAAAGTTAAAAAATTATTTAAAAAGTTAAAAGGTTAATATTATTTATCAAAAGTCAACAATTATGGTTGTACAATTTTTAATC